GATTGGTGACAAGCCTACAAGATGTCAAAGATATTGTTTGGAAATTATTCAACTCTATGGGGATTATCGCTGATTAGTGTTGTTTCTTTATCTTGATGCATTTTAGGCTCCTTTTTCATAAATTTTATTATGCTGCTCTTGTAGGTGAAAATGTTAGAATCACTTCAAGACATTGAAATAGCTTCAAGATTAGTTGGATTTGATGTAGATGGTGATGACTCCATTGATGATAAGTATAAGAAGCTTCACTGTGACATTTCTCCACTTCCTCATGATAGTGAGGATTATCGTCTGGTTGAGAAGTTTCTCCATACTACTCATGCCCCTACACATACGGTGTGTTTATACTTGAGTGGTAGTAACTCAAGTTGTGTTATGTGTCTCTGGACCTAGCTCTTTCACTTTTAAAACGTATAGTGATTACCAGCCTGTACTCTCTGCAGGATTGGAATCTTGAGCTAGAAGAAGTTTTTGCACTTGAAAGGGAAGGAGAGATTGACAAGTATGCCCCTTACAGAGAAAAACTGGGTAACAGAATGCTCCTATGGCATGGTAGGTCTACACTAATGTGTGCGCTAGTTAATATCCTTCTATGACACTGAAAGAGAGAATAAATCCGATCAGTAATTAATGAACACCATTGGGATGTGAAGAAATCCTAGACCAGAAGATTTTTAAAGCTGAACCTTCTCATTTATTCTTGCATATTTCTTCAATTATATACACCAATTGGTTATGGAGAAATGATTGAAATATAACCACACGGTAGACTATTCTTGCTGCAATATTTTACACACCAAAGTTCACTACAGTTCATCTGAAGTCAACTTTCTGGAGAATGGAAGTAATTAAAAATTGAGTTAGTCCTATAACTAGAACGTTCTCTGTTGCAGGGTCTAGGCTGACAAATTTTGTTGGCATACTTAACCAAGGACTGAGAATCGCACCTCCTGAAGCCCCCGCAACTGGCTATATGGTGTTTTCACCCTTTCTTTTCTTTGTCTCTTCCAATTTATTTTTATTTTTATAAATATGCGCATAATTGCTACCCAAATCTCAACATTTTGCTGTACAGTTTGGCAAAGGGATATACTTCGCTGATTTGGTGAGCAAAAGTGCTCAGTATTGCTACACTGATAAGAAAAATCCTGTTGGTCTGATGCTTTTGAGCGAAGTTGCTCTTGGAAACATATATGAACTTAAGAATGCTAAGGTCAGTCTGGTTTAATTCCAATTTTGCATGTGGGTTTATACCAGCATGTGGTTGTTGATTATTACCTTATTCTGCATGCCTTCAAAGCAAGAAAAAACTTTGCATCCCCCCACCCTTGTGTGCCTGATAAAAAATTCTGCTGAATATATTGGCAATTTCCTTACTTCTGACAAGTCTTTGCCCTCTATGCAATGAAGTATGTGGAAAAACTTCCAGCAGGAAAGCACTCTACAAAAGGGCTGGGCAAGAAAGTACCTGATGAATTGGAATTTGTAAGGTGGAGAGATGACGTCATTGTTCCTTGTGGCAAACCAGTGTCATCAAGAGTCAAGACTTCTGACCTCATGTACAACGAATTTATTGTCTACAATACTGCTCAAGTAAGTTTCCGTGCTTTGGCTATGGTGTTCTTTTCTAACTATGCCTATGAAACAAGCTCGAGTGCTTGTAAATTTTCAACATGCTCAGTTATTATAAAATGGACTTGGAAACTATCCTGAAATGCTGTATTGTGTAACACCCCTTACTGATTAACAAAAATTTACAAAATATTTCATACGAAGTCATCCAGGATCCTACCCTGAGGAGTTTGCAGCAAGCATGTAAACATGGCCCAACTCAGCGGAGGTGGTTTTCACTCATCTGGTCCAATGACATTACAATATTAAAAAAAGAAAAACACAGTAGATGATAACATGATAAAGTTTAGAGCAACCAAACCAGTGTCAACAGTAATCCAAATACCTCTGTAAAGACAAATGTAACTCAACTGAAAATAAGCAGTATTACAAGTTTAACATAAAGTTTATAAAGTTTAACATCAGAAGTTTATAGACAAAAATCCCTAACACTTGGCATTTGTACAAACAACTCCAAATTACAGTACATATATCAAGTATACTGATACAGGGTGGTGTGGTCTGTGTCAGAAGGTGGAGGTCAAATGTTCAGGTGTCTTCCTGGCATCAGCGGAGCTATCACTTAAATAAAAATTGAGGGTTGAGATGAAAACAAAAAATTTCTTAACACCTTAATCATTGTTGAATATAATTTTTGATTATGCTAATATGCCATATGATCCTAATCACCTTCTAGGTCAAGATCCTAGATTAGTGATTATGTAGCTCTGTCCTTCTTTCTACTGCTTGTAGTTTAGGATTTAGGCATTACTAGACCTAGACCTATAGTTGATAGGGCCCTAATTTAGTGTAATATTTCGGCCCTAACACCTTTTAGCCGTGATGAATGACACAATTTGCCCTTATTATCATTCCAATATTTGTGTTATGTTTGGAACTTCTCAGTCAAAAGAACAAAAACTGAAAACTCCTTGGCTACACCCATCAAGTACACTGATGCCCAGAAAGTATGATGTTTGGGTCTCGTTGACTTAATTTAGTTCTTTGCAGGTTCACAGTACGCTTTGCCAATGAATTAAACGTTGATTAACGATGCACTTGTGCAATGCTCTACTATTATTTTGGGATTAGTTGATGCTTAGGCCTGATTGAAGAGTTATAGTTTGGAGACTCATGCATTAGACTGAAATGTTGGATTGTTTTTTTTTTTTTCTTTTTTTGGAGTAATTACTGGAGACCTTCATTCAAAAAGAAAGTGTACAAAAGAACAACCTAGGAAAAACAGAGCCTAAAAAACACCAAAACCAAAAGCCCAAAAAGAAAACAACCCCCAATCAAGTAATGGGAGGCTAATAAAAAATGTTGGATTGTTTCGTGCAGGTTAAGATGCAGTTCTTGCTGAAGGTGAGGTTCCATCACAAGAGATGAGGATGGGAAATAATCTAGTTGTTAAGTATTTTGGGGGTTATGTTTTTAAGCATCACTTTTGCCAAAGCTGTGGTTTGCCAGAACTTGTACACAGCTCATTGTGAATATAGGATTCTCTCTACTCTCTAGGGTGATGAAGGGGTCTCATTTTGGGTTGGCTGGAGACCTTCAACTTCTGTTTTCTTTGTGTTTTTGGTTGCAAGGGCAGGGATCAAGTTGAATGAACCCATTCAGAAATTTAAAGCCCTGATAAAATTGTCCTTAGCATTTAGGTGATAAGGAGGTGATGGAGATGAGGTGCTGTGGGAACTCTGAATGCACCAGATGGTATGTGGGTTGCATGTGTGTCGTGTGCAAAGCTGATGACGTTAACTAATGTTGGAGACACCCATGACTAGGTGTATATAAAATCTTATATGTTAATTCCTATCATTCAATCAATCTGGTTGAGCTGATGGTTCCTGTGGTGAGAAGGATGGCGAGAGAAGTTTATTCATGTGATGACGACTCACTGTCAAGGATGACGTTACTGTTTTGTAGGTACATATTCATATTAAGTTATACTTGCTACACAAATTAATCCAACAATAAAAGAACAGTTTTTGAGCAGAAGAACAACCTTTCTTTGGTCGCAATTTTGAGACCATGATCTTGATATCTGAATCAAGTATACCTTCTTGGGGAGGCAAACAACAAAACGCGTTTTATATGAATTCCATATTTAGGGCAAAATTAAAATGAATTTCATAATCACAAACTTGGAGCTGAATGCTGTCAATTTTTAATATAAAAATTTGAGCGCGGTATTTTTTTTTTTTTTTACTGGTTGTTGGGGGTTTTGGCCCCCCCCCCCCCCGGGGGGGGAGGTAACAAAAGAAAGCCTTCTTTTTAATGGTTCCACAACTCATGGCTACACATCTCATGTTTCTTTGGTTCTTGAGAGTACTTTTTTATCCATGTAAGAAATTGTACCTCACAATCTAGAAGCATGTTACAATGTGTAACTATTATAAGATGATCCATAACTCCGTCTAATCCTTTTCTTTTTTGGAATGCAATTGTAGCCCATTAATTAACTCAAATAAAAAACAGAATTTCAAATCAGTAGCCCAGCGTGGGAAGAGGGGAAAAAAAGAAAGGGAACCTTCGAAGGCTTAAAAAGCCACACCCAGACTACACCTAATGGGTGGTGTGGTAATACCATCTAATCTAGTGCCATAATTTGATGTATGGCTGATGTTTATTATTTTAGTAAGATTCGATTCACGTTTATGGTTAGCTATTAATTCTTCAACTGCATTTTCCTGTGGAGTAGAGCCAATGCCGGATAACCAAATGTTATAGAATGAGCTGAGGTAATTTTTTCTCTTGGACCTCATTGCATTTGCATTGACTTTTAATCAATTATCCTGAAGTATATAGATTTTACTCCTGTACTTGTTATAAATTACCTTCTAAAATAGATAGTTAGTGTCGACCAAAAAAAATAGAAAAGATAATTAGTCTTTATCATAATTCATTTGATTAGATATTAATTAATTTTTGTATTATTTTTACTTCAAATTATTACCTATAAAAGATAGTGTAATGTAAATTTATTTTTTATTTAAATACGAATAAAATTTATTTTTTATTTTTAAATAAATTTAATAATTTAATCACATTTTTTTTAATTTTGATGAGATAATTAAAAAATCTTGAAATGAAAACAAGAAAAATGGATAATGAGGGGGAATGAAGAGAGGAGGGAGAGAGAGAGAAAGTAGGGAAGACAACCGAAAGGTGTGGGTAAAAGGTAAGGGACAGGTGGCGGTGAGAGTGAGCGAGCATCAAAAAGGCGACAAAAGATCAGTAGCAGTTTCCAGGTGCGGCGTTCGGCGCAACATAAACCAAACCAATTGGGATGGGTTAAATAAATTCCCTTAAACTAATTAACATCACTAAAATACACCAATGAAGCTGTCCAAATTACACTAACTTGGTCTCTTGCCATTACAAAATAAAGTCCCACAATGCATCTTCCATTACTCAGTGTCTCCTCAGAACCCTACATCCCAGCGTCCCCATGTCTGCCGTTCACACTTGTTTATAACACCTCATTTCCCTCTCTTTATGTCCCTTATTTAATTCCCCTAAGCCTCCCAACCTTCCTCCCACTTCTATACCCTCAGATTTTCTTGCACCATTTCCTAGTGTGCTCGTGTGCTTATACTTTTTAATAATTCTCTTTCTTTTTTCTTCTTCTTCCTGCTGCTTCTGTGTCTCTATGGCTTGTTCTGGAAGTAATAGTGGGAATGGGAGCGGAGGGTCAGGGTCCCCTTGTGGGGCATGCAAGTTTCTGAGAAGGAAGTGTGCGGCTGACTGTATATTTGCCCCTTATTTCTGCTCTGAACAAGGCCCTGCAAGTTTTGCTGCCATACACAAGGTTTTTGGTGCTAGTAATGTCTCCAAACTGCTCCTCAATTTACCTCCCCATGATCGTTGTGAGGCTGTCCTCACTATTGCCTATGAAGCTCAGGCTCGTATCAGAGACCCTGTTTATGGCTGTGTCTCCCACATTTTCGCCTTACAACAACAGGTGCCTTATTCTTGCATGTGCTTGTGTATATATATAGTTCGTCTTAATATTAGTTGGAGCTCTCAACTTTGTTTTAAGTTTTAAGCTGCGTCTTGCCCTGAGAGTTTCATTAAAGCCGAACAAATTCTATGTATTTTACTTTTCTTGATCAGTAATACCCAACCCGGCCCTCGGAAAGAAGAAGAAAGGGTGTTGCTATTATTATTCAGTTGTATACCACTAACTCAGAATTCACTCTACTTCTTTCTCATCTTCCCTTATTTTTTTCTGTCCCAGCACTGAAAATTTGGAAAATGAGGTCATTATAGTGTTATAAATTCTGTGACTAATTTCCACTGTCTGTCTCTTATATATACACTATTTGTCCCCCTAGATTTGGCTTCTATATGACTTCAACATTTAATCCCAACCTACTAATTATGAGCTACCGGGCCACATTAACACACACATTTATAGAGGAAAAATAATGTAGACATCTAATTAATTAGATTAATCCGCTTTTTTCTTAATTAACTTAGAAATCTGGGTACCGATGAAATGTAGGTGGCATGCTTGCAAGCACAACTGATGCAAGCCAAGGCGCAGTTGGCTGAGAAGAGCATGGCGAACGAAGAGTGCTGGGGAAGGAATGGTTATGGGCAAGCAATGAATCCAATCTATGGGACTAGTTACACCAATATGAACCCTATATCTCCGCAGAGTTCTCTTGATTCAATTGATTACAGTAGCATCCACGATGGATCCATGAATTTGCAGCAAGAGGATTTCTCTTTGCTGCAACCTCGCTCCAATAAGAAAAGTTCATCATATGATAGCAATGACCTGAGCGAGCTTCAAGAGCTAGCACTCAGAATGATGAGAAACTAGGCTAATCAATGAGCTATTCTCTATTAATCTGTCTTTGTTTACGTTTTCTTCAAGGGCATCCCTTGATGTATATACTGAGAGTATTAATTTCCTTAACTGGTAGCAGGCTTTAAACTAGGCATTTAGCTATAGCTTTCTCTATCTGTGGCTTCCAATCCAAAACTGATTTAATTTTTGCACTCTTTATATGTGTCAATCTCTCTCTATCTTTTTATCCATATGTCTAAGTCATAAGTCACTGTGTTTACTAAGTGATGTTGAAAATACTATGCAGTTCTTTTAATTTGTGAACTAGAATAATAGGGACAGCCCCAAACTATAAATTAAAGACAGCCTACAACAGTAGGGCTTGTCTTGAATTATTATATATGCGTTCTTTGCCTGTCAAACTTCAATAATGATACATACCTTGGAATTATGAGGCGTCCTCAGTTCTTACACAAATTTGGAATTGGCATCTTCGTCTCAAAATCATTCCCTTCATTTAGCTCTTCAACTTAATTCAAAAAGCAAGCAAATGTCTGGTGGGAGCTACCCATATGAGTTTATTTGGCATTCTTAAAAGACTAACACGTAAGCTGTCCTTATCCCATGTCAGTGAATCAATGTAAACAAAGTTAGCATTAATAAATTAATTAACACGGTAGTTAAGTAGCTAGGTTCTCTTAATCTCTTCCACACAACCTGATCACTATATATATTTTTTCGAAAAGAAACTCAAGGGGACCAAAAAGGGATCGTGCATGAGCCACAATCATGGCTTATAGGACCGTGTCTATGAATTTTATCTCTTTTTTCCTTTTTATATTGCAAAAAAATTGAAATCCGGAACTCTCAAGTCAAAAGTGAACCAAGTTGCTCTATTGATCCCAACGGGTTCAGATCCAAATGCAATGTCTGCTTTGAGCGCATTGATAAGACAACTTTTTTCAGATTTTGTGATGGCAGAAGCAGTGTCCAAAGAAAAGGACTTTGATGGTATCATTATAGAGCTAAAGGCAAACACAAGCTTAGGGATCAGTACCTAAACGGACCCCACTTTCCTAGGTTTTATATTTTAACTGGTAGGTTTACCTAACATCAATATATGGTCATCCATTAAGTGAAATCGCATTTCACTCCTTGTATTCCTACGACTAGACATATTGTCCCCTCGATCCAAAGCATGTATGCTAGCTACTTCACTGACTTCGTTTCTCACACGTGATATACAGTATAAAAATGAAATCCTCAACTTCCCTGTATCATATATATCGAAGCACTGGTTTGTTTTAGTTAATATCTGTATCATCCTGTCGTTTGAACTGTGATATTTTGTTAATTAGCTCCATTATAAGATATGTTAAGAAAAAATAGAATTACTACAACGTTCGTACGATCAGCTTTTAATTTTCACATTGATCAAAAGGAGATATATACATATAGCTTGCACATAGCAGAAATGTAAGGCCGATCGATTCAGAAATGAATTTCATGCAGTGCTTTTCTTGTGATCGTAAAATATAATTAATTAACCTACAGGTCTATGAATTACTTTAGAAGTTGACCTTTTTTTTCAATGGGAAGCAGTATACATCACTGTTTCATTGTCAATGACAATTATCATTATTTTTCCATGCGACTGAAATATTATTGGTGAAATGTACAATAATTCCATCGACAAAACTAAGCATGCAGGGTACACGTAATAACTTCTTTAAAAGATGGGGAAAAAAACGAAAGAAACTATAATTTGGTCTGAAGATTATGAATACAATAATACGAGACACAAGTGATTTGAGAGAGAGAGATAGAGAGAGAGAGAGAGAGAGATCAGGAGCATGAACATGAACATGCTGTGGCAATATGATATTGTTCAACATTTCATTATTATGGGTACCTGTAGTAGTAGGGGACCATAAGATCCAAGAAAATCTGCTCCTGAGCGAAGCAAAAGATACTAACTGAAAACGCCATCCTTCTTATTTCCGCCTTCATTTATTATTTATTTGTACGGATCACAATGTGGATCAATATTACATAACATATATAGGTCATAGGTCATAACCCCTCCCTAAGTTGAAGTTAACAGGCATAATGACCATTGGAGTGTCCATTTGGGACTAGTTCCTGTATATTATATATCAGGAGCCTCTTGAAGCTGATTTGTCAGATGCAAATTAAGAGACATGACTTATGGAACATTCAGAAAGTTATATATATATATATATCGATCCCATTTCCAGATGCGAGATCTTGATATGTATCTCAGCAATATCTAGTGATAGGGAGAGAATAATAGGGGGGTGTATTTATGTATATCAAGTGCAACCCGGCCACCTAATGGTTGTTGATTAAGTAATAAAGTAAAGAATGAACCCAGCTAGCCCCTACTCAAAATCTAACAGGAGAAACAGAACAGTTATGTGTGGAGCATAAATTAAAAATAAGCAATATTTGAAGCAGCATACGTGATTAATTAATAAAATACAAATGCCCATTAGTTAATGACCACAATGTGGCATAAACCAAACACAGGGTCAAGAGGCAAGTGAGTGGTCAGAAGCTTTAAAGAATGGCAAAGTAGAAAAAAGGAGGAGGAATAATAGAAAATAAATGCAAACTTTAAGCTCTGGACTCCAATATATAGTTGCATATATTACATATTAATTGATCTCTGTGCATATATATAATTAGAATCCGTTAGCTTGTATCTGGAAAAAGTGTTTATTCCCACTAGTTTAATTAGGAGGGAGTGATGATTAGCTGAACGTGACAGCGAGATCAAAATTAAAGCTGTCCCAGAAAAGTGGAATCGAACCAATATACATTACACGGTGAAGTTAAAGCGAAGTAATTAATTGTATTGGTCTTCTCCTAATTATTGAGTTCCACAAAGAATGTGGTCTCTTTCTATCAGTAGTCATACTGAGCTGGTTCAGGTGGGATTAGAACAAATACATACATATATATATATATATATATATAGAGAGAGAGAGAGAGAGAGAGAGAGACCTTGTGTTTCTATTTAAATTCAATATTTTATGATCAGAGGCGTTTTTAGGAGAAGGATATGCATAGGTATAGCTAGATTTGGAGTTGTTATAATCTATTATGCTTTGTTTTAAAGAAATGAAAAAAAAAACTAATCTGGAAATATTAACTAATCTCTCTTGGGTTTTTATTTCTGTGAGCCAACGATCGATCTATATATTATATAATATAATCACTGCTATAATTAATTTATTTAGGTCTTTTTCATCGAGATTTGAATTTTGAAAGAATGGCCACAAAATTTGTAATCAATCTAGAGAATCCACTGGTGGCTGGGTGAGAGTAGCAACTTAGTTTATATTTGGAGGTGAATGACTCAAACGTGTTAGACTGAGGACTTTGCTCCCCTTGCCCATTCTTATAACTCTTTCTCAAGCTATCTTATTTTTAAAAAAACTGCAAGTTGGGTTGATTATGAGCAATTTATAAGGTTGAATTGCCTGATGATAAAATTAAAATTGCTCAATTTTTTTATGAAAAAAAGTTGGTGTGTTGGGTTACAAAATTCAATAGGACCAAGACATACTTATAAGTTTAAAACATTTACAAAAATACTTACAAATTATTTATCAATAAAATTCTCATATCAACAACGAGATTTAAATATAACTTTATGAATTATGAGTCAAACTTTTACTAAATTATGTTAATTTTTATTGGCAAGTTGCTCAAATTGATTCACAAAAAGAACGGATTGTTTAGTCATCAGGATTTTTGAAATAGAATACGATCCATAGGGAAAAATAAAATAAAATTAAAGATGGTAAATTTGTAAAAATTTATAAGGAACAACTTGAATATAATGGTTTTTTCCCTTTTAAAATTACACCCTTATCTTCTTAAAATTATAACTCTCTGTCGTTATCGTGCCATCATGTGTGTGCTTTTATTTCCTTGATTTATTTTTCTTATCTGATCTTATTTTCTTATTATTGTTTTTGAAATAAGGGAGACACAAACTGTAAAAAGCGTTATCATAAAACAAGACCACGTATAACTACGATGCAAAGAAACAAATCTCTCATATGATGCACAAAAAAAGGAAAAGAAAAACAGGGTGTGGGAAAAGAAATTCATGATCATTGAGGTCAGAGTACTGACACTGTAGGCTTCAAAAACATTCATTCGCAAGCCTTCTTGCTGCTTTAATTAAATAACTTCGGTCTTACGTGGTCCTTTTATTGGTACGACTTTCTGTATACACCACACAAACAGTAAATATAGGTACATCATGGTACAAATATTGCACTCACATATTGTACGTTTTATTTATTCTAATAACTACATAGTATATTTTTAAAACAAATAAAAATTTGGATTCCTTGTCCTCATGCTTATCTCTGTCGTTTTCGGTCTGCCTGAATCTTTTATTGATTCACTCGTTTGTGGGCCGGAGCTGCACGAGATTCATTTTTGACCCAAATGGGCCTATACCTGCGGATTTGGGTCTGTTTTAGGTTTTCTTTTGATAGCGAGAGAAAGGTTGGGCCTGTTGTAGTTTATCTTCATTTGTTCGTGGTGTTTATTGTCAGCCTTCGAAGATGTAGAGATTCTGATTTTGTAAATAAATAATAAATATATTTTTTTTTGGATTCCAGATCCAGGTGCACATTTAGCCTTGGGAAAGTTTCGTGCAAGTTTCTTAGACCATTTAATTTGCTTTATTCCTAAATATTTGTTAATCCATTATTTCTGTTGGATGATTTGACTTTGTTAATCTCTTTTATTCTGTTCGTTAAATTTGATTAATTACCGTATATTTCTCAAAGTTGCCAGTCTTTCCTGTTTTCAACATTAAAGGATGCTTCCTTTTCCATGTAAAGTAGTTGTATATACATAATTCACCAAACTAAGATATAGTTAATCGTGCATAAGAATGTCATTGCTTTATGCTTCCATATAGCACCACAACAGGAGAGATATATGATATTTTAAACAAAGATATTGTTATATTCAAGAATTAAGTGATAGAAAAACTCTGAAACTTTTTTCCTTGCAAGGGACGTATGATATCTTAAACCTTTTTTTAGAATAATTTCACCTTAAAATTTAAAAAAAAAAGTGTAATTTTGCCTGACCCTTAAATCAAAAAAGTGTTTGATCATTAAAAATGAAATTTGACTATTGGAAGGACAGGTGTTGCATAGTATTTGATGACTCAAAGTGCATCATCCTCCTTCTTCCCCCACGCAAGTTCAATTTTCAGAGTTGAACTC